CCTGGAGCTAAGAAGATCCGAGTTCAAATCTGGCCTCAGATACCCAGTGACCCTGGGCAAGCCACTCAACCTCTGTCTGCCTCAATCCACTGGCAAATGGCAAACCACTCCAGCATCCCTATCAAGAAAACCCATGGACAGTATTGGCATGTTATGTTCCAGGGTCAATGAGCAACATTCTAATGGAACAAGACAACACATAAAAAGAAGTTGGAAAGTCGAGAAAAGTGCTTGCATAGGGGCATACATGGTGTTTGCTTATTTCCTGGCCTTTAAAAAAATTGAGCTCTCCTGCTGGGGAGCAGGGGACACTGACCCAAACTTCCTGTGCTGAGAGCCAGGGGCCTGGTCACTGGCTTTGTGTACTGAGGCCTCAGATGCTGGCAATTGGAGGCCGTAGGGCTCTGGCAGCATACCTGGTATTGGGCTGGAATCAGCAACATTGGAGCTCTAGGGGTAGGATTGGGTAGTCTGGCCCCTGGAGGATGCCTGCCCACCTGGGCCTTCCTTTGGTTCCTTGCAGATAGATGTTTCACTGCTGTAGGATGTTTCTCTGCCTGGGGCTTTCCTTCTTGGAGTTGTGCTTTCCAGAGTTTTGCTGAGGCACCCAGGAGACTTGGCTGCCGGAGAACGCCATGGCATGTGGTGGTTTTCTGAGCCGGTTTCCACTCGTTTCCCTGCCCATACTGAGGCATTCGAGGGTCCTGGTGTTGGTGCTTGCCTGCTCCACCAACTGGAGTTCAGGATTGCCCCCTGGTGTGCTTAGGTGGGGCTTTCCTCTAGCTTGCTGGGATGATCTCCTGGTTCTATAGTGCTCCCCTCCCCCAGGGCAAGAGGGGACTTTCGTTAATCCCTCAAACTTTCAAAGCTACAGGACTGCTATACCCAGTCTTTCTGCTAGTTCAGCTGTTCCAGGGTTTTCCTAGGGCATATTTTCTGGGCTTTCAGAGGTTAATAAGAGAGGGTTAGAGCTACTTACTTCTTATTCTGCCATCTTGGCTCCTGGAAGCTGAAGTCTTGTTTTTTTTTTTTTTTTTTGGTTTGTTTTCGTTTTTTTGTCTTTATTTTAAATGGTCTAAAATAATATTGAATAATATTGCAGACATATAGTGTAGTTTCCCTCTGCAATAAGTAGGTGTGCTGCTCCCAAAGAGCACACATACATTGATACAGAAGGGAAGAGCAAGCTCTTACACCTTAACAAGTATCAGATAAGCTAATGCCTTAAGGTGTGTCAGATAAGCTAATTAAGCATGCACAGATGCAAGAACAGCTGTTGGTTATTTTTTCCAATACTTGTAGTTAAAGAGTACCTGCTAATCAGGTACTAATTCACAGGCATCCTGTTTTTATGTTAACTTGGGTAGAAACAGAAAATTTCACAAACATCTTCTTTTCACACCTCTTTTTCTCTTTTGATAAAATCTATTTTAGCTTTAACTTTGTTTGAGATCATGGTTACTACCCCTGCTTTTTTTTTACATAATAAATTCTTCGCCTGCCCTTTATTTTATTTTTATGTGTATTTCTCATTTTTATGGTTTCCTGAAAGCAACAATATTGTTGAATTCAAATGTTTAATCTGCTATCCATTTCCATTTTATGGGCAAATTCATCCTATTCCATTCTAACTTATAATTACTTGTGTACTTTCCTCCTTCCTATTTTTCCTCACTAGTCATCTCACCCTATTTACCCTCTCCCTCCTCACTCATCTACTTTACTTCTACCTGCTACCTTGACCTCCTATTCCTTAACCTACCCACCCCCCAAGACTCTCCCCCTTATCCCCTCCTCACCTCACTCCTACCTTATCCTCTTGCCCTCTTCTTTCTGAAGTTAGAAGATTTTTATACCCTTCTAGATATATGTTGTCCCCTCTTTAACCCATTTCTGATGAGTAAGGTTCTAGCACTACCCATCCTCCCCCTACTAGTTTCTTCTGTATCAGTTTTTCATTTTATGCCTCATTTGTATGAGATAATTACTCCTTTTTATCTCTCCCTGCACAGTTGTACCTTTTCAGAATCACCCCAGCATACTCGACTCAGTCCAAACCTTATGACAGTCATAAAATACTGATATTTTCACATATAAGAAGTAAACAATTTAACCTTCTTGAGTCCTTTATAACTGGTCTTTTTTATTAATTTATTTTTATTTATCAACAATCACTTCTATAAGCTTTTGAATTTTAAATTTTTCTCCCTCTACCTCCCTCCCCAAGACAGTGCACGATCTGATATAGGCTATACATATACATTCCTATTAAGCATATTTTTACATTAGTGATGTTTTAAGGAAGAATTAGAGCCAGTAGAAGGAACCACATGAAAGAGGAAACAAAACAAAACAGAAGAAAAAAAAAGAACAAATAGTATGCTTCCATCTGCATTCAGACTCCAAAGTTCTTTCTCTGGATGTGGACAGCATTTTCCATCATGAGACTTTTGGAGATGTCTTAGATCCTTGCATTGCTGAGAAGGGCTGTCTACCAAAGTTAGTCATCACACAACGTGGCTGTTACTATGTACAAAATTCTCCTGGTTCTGCTCACTTCACTCAGCATCAGTCCGTAGTCTTTCCAGGTTTTTCTGAAGTCCATCTGCTTTCTTTTCATAATTTTCTTGGGTTATTCTTACTTTTTTTTCTTCTAATCTTTCCTTGTTCTCTCTTATTTGATTTTTAATGTCCTTGTTAAGTTCTTGCAAGAATTCTTTCTGTACTTGGAACCATTTGACATTTTTCATTGAAAACAGAGCAGCATTTTTGGCTCCATTATCTTCTTCCTTAATATGAACCCAGATCTTCATTCCTTTGCTTACTCATATTTATTTATTTATTTATTTATTTTTGTTTGATTTTGTTTTTTAGCAGCAATTAGTGTAATCAAGTTCTAGTCCCAAGGTATGGGTAATGATGCCTCAAGTCTCAGGTCGTTCTTACTGTTATTTTCTGAGGTCTGTCCCAGGGCTTAATCTTGGAGTCTCCTTTCCACTCCTAAATCACCACAGTAGGACCCCCAGCTGTTCTGCAAATGATCTTGCTCTCTGCTGTCCTCTCTGCCCTGGAACTGAAACTAGGGGCTCTGCTCTCCTTTAAGTGCCCACAACCAGCATAGTCCCCATCCCTCTGCTACTGCACTCATCAGGTATGTGCTAGCTCCTCCACAGCAACAGTTTGGGACTAGCCTGGGATGTGCCTGGTCAGTATAGAGTGTTTGGTGTCCTTCAACAGTGGAAGGCCCTTCAATCTTCTCCTACTCAACCTTCAGACCCCCAAAATGTCTGTGAGATGAAAGTTTCTAACTTCCCAACCTCAGCTGCCCCCAGAGCTTGTTGTTTGTGGATTCAGTGGAGTTGGCCTAGAAGTGTTTGCACTACACTCAGGCCTAACCTCTGCCCCTGGAGGTTGGGTCTTTGGGGGTTTGTGGGCACAGTGTCTTGTCAAGTTTTCTTAGAAAAACTGCTTTCCCCTGACTTTTGTTTATTTTCACTGCTCTATGTTCCCTCTGAGGTGATGTTCTATCGTTTTTGTAGAGGAAATTTTGGAGAGCTGAAAGTTTTCTCACCTCCTTTGCCATCTTCCCAGAATTCTCTCCTCAAATGCCAAATTTAAAAACTAAAACAAAGACAAAACCCATATAATTTCTTCAACACAGTTGTTAAACCATCCTAAAATTACAGAGATTTGCCTTGGTTTTCATTTTCTCACTGGTGAGGTCCCTCATTCCACCTCTCAGTTGTCTGGCAACATCCACATACAATTAATTATTTCAGTGATTTTTCCAGTCATTTCCAAAAAGCCATTTAAAACAAAAGTTCTTTCCCCATTCATACAAAGATATGACTCCCTTAAACCTTTAGAGTGGACTTCTCTCTATAGACTCCACTGAGGTAATTAGGGAATGATGACTATTAACAATAGAAAATTCATTCCCATCAAGAGGAAAACATACCTAATTATTCTATATACCCTTTTTTTAGTGAAGGGAAAAATTATTTTAATATTGCCATTCTGAATCAGTCCATTGATCAGATAAGGTATGCTTTGCTTGAAAAATATGATGTTTTTGAACTAAAAATTTGTGGGAACCTCCTGATTTCAGAGGCAGACCACGACATAAAAAATATTGACATTACAAGGACACTGAAAGAATAGGTCAAAGAACTGGGGGATTGTAACGTAATTCACATTAAGGTCTGAGGAAACCATTATTAGTACTGTGAATTATTTATCAGATCCAGAGATGACACCATATATAATGACAGTAGGCAAATTAATCTATGCACCTCCTTTTTGCAAGAGGATGGAGGCCTTATGGACCTTATAAGTAATGAGTTTAATTAATTTTTAAGAGCTCACTGGCAGTATGTAGGTCCTTTCCCAATCCACAAATGAAGTATTTGTAAAACCACTGTGTCTGGCATCTACTGTCATTCAGTCTGTCTGACTCTTCGTGATCTCATTTGGGATTTTCTTAGCAAAGATACTTTTTAGAGATGAGGAAACTGAGGCAACCAGGATTGACTTGGCCAGGGTCACACGGCTAGCGTCTGAGGCCGTATTTGAAGGCATGAAGAAGAGTCTTCCCGATTACAGGCCCAGTGCTCTACCCACTGCGCCACCTAGCTGCCCTGCCTGGCATCCAGTAAGCAGTTTAATAAGGGTTTGCTCCTTCCCCTCCTCCAATTAGATCGTAAGCTCCTTGAAGTCAAGAACTGTGTCATTTCTCATCTATGATTCCCAAAAAGCTTAGTACCGAGCCGCGTACACTACGTGTACATGAACTGTCGGTAAACCGAACTGAAGACAGAACGAAATGCAGAATAACGGGCTTCCACTTCCCTTCGCCCTTCTCCAGGCACTTCCGCTTCCGTCCATCCGTGAACTTTCCGCCCCGGCCCCGACAGAACGCGAAACTGAACTCGGCCCAAGAGTGGCGCATGCGCTGACGCTGACGCTGACACCAACGTCGACGCCACATTCGCTCCCAGCAGACACTGCGGCAGGAACGGCGCGCGCGGACTCGGCCGAGAGCTGTTTTCGTCACGTCCTGACTCTACAATCCCTCTTACCGCCCCCCACTACCCCCCCCCGGCTCCGTTCCCACAGACTCCCCTCCAGTCTTGGATTCCGCCTCCTCACACCCCGACTCCCTCAGCAGTACAAGGGATAAAAGACTCGACGCGACTGCCACTAAGCCGACCCGCCTTCCTTTGCTTTTATAGTAAAGGCAGAGGCCGACAGGCTTGAGGTGGGCCTGAGGTGAGGAGGGGATAGGTTTCCGAAGCGATTCCTGGGTTGGGTGGGGCGTTTCCGTCCCTCTTCTCCACTCCCCCCTCCCCCGTGGGCCTCAGTTTCCTACTCCGCTGCGGGATTGTAGCTTTTAGTGTCCTTTAGAGGCCCCAGAAGATGCAAGATAGTTCAGGACCTAATTCCCCTCCCCCTCCACACCCCCATCTCTTTCCTGGGCGTTCTCTGAACAAACTTTGAAGGCTATTTTATGAATATCTTTTATGGTTGGTGGCTCAGGGCTGGGGGAGTATGTTCTGAATAAGGTCCAGGGGCTGAGAGGACAGCGGGGGGGGGGGGGGGCGTGTGTGTCTGTGTGTGTCTTTATATCTGTTCGAGGCCCGAAGAGTTTAAAGCTTGGAAGATGTGGAGAGGGTAACTAGAGTGGGGCTGAATGGGGCTCATCTTGGAAAGAGATGTCTGAGGGCTACAGGGTATCAAGAGCTAGTTTGGATTGTTGGGGGGGGGATAATTAAGGAGCCTTAGTTATGGATGTCATTGTGAAGTGAACAGAACGCTAGATCTTAAGTTGAGAGACCTGAATTCTAGTTGTGTGTCTGCCGTGATAAGGAATGATTTGGCTTTAGACTCATCTATGAGAGGATTAGGCTAGATAATCTCCAAGGTCCTTTTATCATTGGGTCCCTTTCACTTCTAAATCTATGATTAAAAAGTGATTTTATTAGGGATGAACCAAATCACCAAGGTCCTTTATCTCTGGGTCACTTTCAGCTCTAAATTGATGATAAAATCAATGATTTTACCAGGATGGGGGGTGGTGGGGGTGGGAAGGAAGGCTAGCACTATCTAGGGAGTAATAGGGTACATTGAAAACAGCACTGGACCAAAATTCTGAAAGCTTGGTTCCTTCCTTTTTAGCCATACCGTGATAAACGGTAAGCATTTTTCAAACTTTAAAGGCTACATAAAATCTTGTTTGTATTCTGGTGAGGGAAGGACTTGGGAATCTAAGGGTGACTTGTTGGTAGTCGGGCCATGGCAGGTTCTCTTAGACATGTGGGAGAATATTATTAGAAGAGTAGAGATATAAGGGACCCTCCTAGTGGAGGGAGGGAAAGGGAGGATAAATTGTCCTTTTAATTAAGGTGACCAGGGGCTAGGAAACTTAGAGCTGCATAGGAGAGCAGTGACACCCTTATTGGAGGGGGTAGTGAGGTAGGTATAGAAAAGGGGGGTGTTCTATACTCCCTTCTCCCTAGTGGCAAAATAAGTGTGGCTTTCAGTGAATAGAACACTTGGCCTGCATTCAGGAATAGAGTTCAAATCTGGCCTCAGACACTTAATAGTTGTGTAACCCTGTAATAACAGCACCTACCTCTAAGGGTTGTTGGGAGGATCAGTTGAGATACTATTTGTAAAGTACTTAGCATAGTGCCTGGCACATAGTAGGAGCTATATAAATGCTTATTTCCTCCCCTTTTGTTTACTACTAGGTACTTCTGTTCACTTTCCAGCCTCTATTATGGGTGACAGCGATGATGAGTATGACCGTAGGCGAAGGGACAAATTCCGAAGAGAACGAAGTGATTATGATCGTTCAAGGGAAAGAGATGAGAGACGGAGAGGGGATGACTGGAATGATCGGTAAGAGAGTCCCATTCTTTTAAATAAGTATTTTCTTCATTATGAACTTAATCATCAAAAATCTTTCAAACACAAAGAACAAAAAAGAGGATTGTATGTTAAACCAAACTTTTCGTACATAGTTTGATTTTTTTTAAAGTATATTTAACAAATTAATGTTTTCTGAGGGACTGTCTGAAGTTTATTTTCTTTTGTGTTTATTTTCTTATTTTTTCTGATTTATTGATTTTCTTTCTTTTGGGGGACATACCTGTCACTTTACATTAAAGTTTCCCCAGCCGTTTCTTGTAACATAAGCCGCATCTCTGAAAATGTATATCCAAGTCCAAACTTCTAGCTTATGGCCAGTCCTCAGAAGTCTTGATTGGTCACTGTAATGATCAAAATTTTTATTGTTGTTTACCTTTACAGTGTTATTATCTTTGTTCTCCTGGTTCTGTTTACTTTCCTCTCCATCTGTTCATACAAGCCTTTCTATGGTTTTTGGAATTTTCGTGCTCATCATTTTTTACTATGTGATAATATACAATTACATAGCTATACTGCTGTGTATTCATTCCTCAGTTAATGTTTTCAGTTGTTTTCTACCACAAAAAGTGGTGTTATATATTTTTTTTACATTGATCATTTTTCTTCATGCTCCCTTTGCGGGCATATGCCTTGTAGTGATATGATTGGGGTCAAAGGGACTTGAGGACATTATTCTAAATTATTTTATAGAATAATTCACAAATCTAATAAAAGATCCCTCCAGGACCCAAGAAATAATAGTACACTCTCATTTTGCCATTTTTGTCTTGTCATCTTTGCTAATATGATGGGTATTGGTGAAAAATCTGAGTTGTTTTAATTTGTATTGCTCTTATTATTAGTGATTTGGAGCATTCTTTAAAATGATTATTTTGGTTTTTCCTCCCTGTATTCTGCTAAGAGCAGGGTTAGCTTCATGTTTTAGATCTGAGCATATCCCTCAAATGGGTCAGGAGGAAGCCTTAGGGATTCTGAGCATCAGGTAGAAAGAACGCTGGACCTAAGGTCCGAACTCAGCTCTGCCAGAGACTACTACCCTCCCTTCTATCAGCACACCACCACCCCAGCTCTTTTCTTTCCTCTTTTCCCTCCTACTTCTGCCCTCTTTTCTTTCAGGTCCTTCTTCCCCCTTTTCCCTTTTCTTTCTCCTTTCCCCTCCTACTTCCCTATAGGGTAAGATAAATTTCTATACCCAACTAAGTATGTATATTATTCTCTCTTTGAGGCATTCTGATGAGAGTAAGATTCAAGCAATGGTCACCTCACTCCCTTCTTTTCCTCAACTGTAACAGGTCTTTTACCCCTCTTCATGTGATACAATTTACTCCATTCTGCTTCCCCCTTCCTTTCTCCCAGTACAGTCCTCTGTCTCACCCCTTATTTTTTTATATCACCCCATCAAAGTCAACTTGTACCTATACCTTCTATGTATACTCCTCCTAACTGCTGTAATAGAACTTAAGCATTGCAAGTCTCATCTTTCCATGTAGTGATGTATACAATTTAATTTTAGTGAATAATTTGTTTTATTCTTACCTGTTTACCTTTTTATGCTTCTCTTGAATTTGTATTTGTAAATCAAATTTTCTGTTCAGCTCCGGTCTTTTTATCAGGAGAGTTTGAAAGTCCCCTGTTTCATTGAATGTTCATTTTTTTCCCCTGAAAGATTATGCTTGGTTTTGCTGGGTAGTTGATTCTTGGTTGTAATCCAAGCTCCTTTGCCTTCTGGAATATCATATTCTGATCTCTCCAATCTTTTAATGTAGAAGCTTCGGAGTCTTGTATAATACTGACTGTGGCTCCTTGATATTTGAATTGTTTCTTTCTGGCTGCTTGCAGTATTTTCTCCTGACCTGAGAGTACTGGAATTTGGCAATAATATTCCTGGGTGTTTTCATTTTGGCCTGTCTTTCAGGAGGTGATCAGTGGTTTCTTATAACATCGTTAGCTTCCCTTTCCCCCATTCTGGTTTTCAAGGAATTATTTTTCCCTTGAGTTTTTCATTCTCTAATTCAAGTTGGTTGACTTTTCATAACTTTCTTAGGTTCTTAACTTTTTTTTCTTCTAATTTTTCCTTTATCTCTCTTACTTGATTTTTAGTGTCCTTTTTTAAGTTCTTCCAAGAACTCTTTCTGTGCTTGGGACCATTTGACATTTTTCATTGAAAAAGGAGCAGCATTTTTAGCTCCATTATCTTCCTCTGGATATGAACCCAGATCTTTCTTTCTCCTTTGCTTACTCATTTTTATTTAGTTTTGTTTTATTTTATTTTTTAAAATTTTATATATATATATATTTTTTTAGGCAATTGGGGTTAAGTGACTTGCCCAGGGTCACACAGCTAGTAAGTGTGAAGTGTTTGGTCTGAGGCTGGATTTGAATTCAGGAACTCCTGACTTTAGGGCCGGTGTTCTATCCACTGTGCCACCTAGCTGCCCCTGTTTTATTTTATTTTTAGCAGCTATTAGTGTAATCAAGTTCTAGTCCCAAGGTATGGGTAATGATGTCTCTCAGGTCCTTCTTTTTATTTTCTGAGATCTGTCCCACAGCTCAATCTTAGGCTTTCCTTTCCATTCCTAAACCACCACAGTTGGCCCCCCCCCAGCTACACTGTCCTGAAAATGATCTTGCTTCCTGAGCTACCCCTGGTGGCTGTAAACTACAGCTGTCCTCTCTGCTCTGGAACTGAAACCAGAGGCTCTCTTCCCTTGCAAGTACCCACAACCAGCATGGTCCCCACCCCTCTGCTACTGTACTTACCAGGTGTGTGCTAGCTCCTCTCCCACAGCAGCAGTTTGGGACCAGTCTGGGATGTTCCTGGTCAGTATAGAGTGTTTGGTGTCCCTCAACAGTGGAGGATCCTTCAATCTTCTCTTACTCAGCCTTCAGACCCCCACATTGTGAGATGAAAGTTTCTAAGGTTGAGGCTACCTCCCAACCTCAGCTGCTCCCAGGGCTTTTTATTTGTGGATTCAGCAGAGTTGGCCTGGAGGTGTTTGTACATCATTCAGGCCTAACCTCTGCCCCATGGGTCTGGTGTTTCTTGGGGTCTTCTTAGGTTGTTTCAGGAGAACAACTGCTTTACCCTGACTTTTGTTTATTTCCACTGATCTCCATTTCCTCTGAGGAGATGTTCTGCCTTTTTTTGTGGAGAAAATTTTGAGAGCTGAAAGTTTTCTTACCTACTCCATCATTTTCCCAGAATCCTGTCCGATAATTTCTTAAAAGATGCCGTGTAGGTTTTTTTTTTTTGGCTTTCAGGTAGTCCAATAATTCTTAAATTATCTCTTCTGGATCTTCCAGGTCAGTTGTTTTGCTAGTGAAGTATTTTGCATTTTTTTTCTCATTTTTTTAATTTTGTTCAATCTTGCTGTCTCATAGAGACAGCTTCCACTTGCCCAATTCTAATTTTTAAGGAATTATTTTCTTCAGTTAGCTTTCATAACTCCTTTTCCATTTGGCCAGTTCTCCTTTTTAAAGAGTTTTCTTTTTCATTTTGTGTGTGTGTGTGTTTCCTTTTCCAAGCTGTTGATTCTTTTCATGATTCTTTTGTATCACTCATATTTCTTTTCCCAATTTTTCTTTTTTCTTATTTGATTTGTTTGATTTTTAAAATCCTTTTCGAGCTCTTTCAAGAGGACTTTTTGGGCCTGAGACCAATTCCTATTTTTTTTTTTCCCTGAGGCTTCACATGTAGGCGTTTTGACATTGTTGACTTCTTCTGAGTTTGTATTTTGAACTTCATTGTCACCATAGTAGCTTTCTATGTCAGGGGCTTTTTTGTTCATTACTAACTTTCCAGCCTATTTCATGACTTTTAAATTTGACTGTGCTCTGGGGTACAGAGTGCACTGTCCCAAGCTTCTTGTTCTGGTGCCGCTGGGCCTGCCATACCTGAACATTAGCCTGTTTTGTTGGGGCCTGAGTCCTCACAGCTGGCCCAATATGCCACTGGCCTCTTGACCTAGGACCCTCAGGGTCTCAGTTGCTGATCTGTGCTCTGGGCAGGGGCCTCCAGCTAGCTCCATACTGCCTGTGCTGGACTATGCTCTGCTTTTACCCGAGTAAGACATACTTTTCCTGCAGTCCTTTTAAGTTATCTTGGGTTGGGAAATTGTTCCACCCTGTCTGTTTTTGTTGATCCAGAATTTGTTTAGAGGTGTTAGTTAAAGTTGTTTAGAGGGAAATTAGTGGGCATTCCCTTAGTTTCCACTTTTTTGGCTACTATAAAAAGAGGAGCTATGTTATTTTGTGTGTTTGAATTTTTTTCCTCTTTTGTTCTTTTTGGAGTATAGTCTTATCCATGAGTCGAAGAATATGTTCGGTGTAGCAACGTTTTGGACATAGTTCAAATTGCTCTTAAGAATGCCTAGACAAATTCATAGCTCTACCAATATTACATTAGTATGCTGTTTTTCTACAGCCCTTTCATTATTTGTTATTTTTCTCATTTGTCATTGCCTATCTGATGGCCGTAAGTAGCTTGAATTTACACTTCTCTAATTATTAGTGATTTGGAGCATATTTATATGATTGTTGATAGCTTGGCTTTTTTCATTTGAAAACTGCCTGTTGATATCCTTTGACTATCTATTTGGTGAATGACTCTTAGTCTTAAAAATTTGGGTCAGTTCTACAAAGGTTCGGTACAATTCATTCCTGTTCTCTAGCCCCCCCCATTCTTTCCCTTATCCAGAGCCCAATCACAGGTTCCTACCCTTTCTTTTCTTTTAAACCTCTATTCTAAATTCACTCTTTGGTTCAGTCCCAAGCAACCACACCCCCAGAATTAATCCCTCCCTTAATATGTCCTCCTGTTTATTGCTATCTCTCCCCTTTCCCACCCTCCTTCCTGTTTAATTAAATGTATTTCTGTACGCAACTGTGTGTGTATTCTTCCTTCCTTTGATGAGTTAAGATGAGAGTGAGGTTCTAGTGTCACATTTCCCTCCATCTCTTACTCCTTGTTTGTATAGTCTTCAGTAGAAGATTATGTGAGTTAATTTCTTGCACTTGGCTCTCTGGCTTATTAGACTTTTTCTATGACTCCTGATGATATCCATCTCTCCATATTAGAATATAAATAGTTTATCCTTGTTTAGTCCCTTATGATTTCTTGCTCATGTTTACTTTTTTGTTTCTGTTGAAAATATTGCAATAAGATGTTTTACAACAAAAATGTTTAAAAAAGATGTTTCATTCTTTATATTTCAAAGTTTCTAATTAGCTCTGATCTTTTCATTGGGAATACTTAGAAATCCTGTTTCATTAAAGACTTTTTCTCTCCCCAGTAGGATTACACTTATTTTTGCTAGGTAAATTACTCTTGGTTGTAAGTTTCTATCTTTTGCCTTCTGGAATATCCTATTCCAAGCTCTCCGCTTCTTTATGTAGTGGCAGCTAAATCTTGTGTGATCTAGTTTCATCTTTTCACTCAAATTTTGTCTGGCTTCCAAATTTCACTAGTTCTCTCAGGGGTATCACCATCCTTTTAGTCTTCAGAGTTATTTTCAACTCTTCACTCTCTCTCACTCCACATATCCTATCACTGCCAATTGAATGAAAATAATTTGTTTTATATCTATACAGTAGCTCTTGCATCTCCCTTTCTCCATTTACACAACTACTACATTAGGCAGGCCTTTGTCACATCTCGTCTATACTTTCGCATTAGTCTTCTAATGGTCTCCCTACTACCTGCATCCTCCCCTGTATTCACAATCCATCCTCAATATGCCTGCCAAAGTGATTTTTTTTTTAAGGCAATTGGGGTTAAGTGACTTGCCCAGGGTCACACAGCTAGTAAGTGTCAAGTGTTTGGTCTGAGGCCACATTTGAACTCAGGTCCTCCTGACTTTAGGGCCGGTGCTCTGTCCACTGTGCCACCTAGCTGCCCCCTCAGAGTGATTTTCTTTAAGCATAGTTCTGACCATATCATTACCCTACTCATTAAATTCTTCTGGTTCCCTAGTGCTTCTAGGATCAAATATGGGCTTCTAAAGCCTTTCACATCCTGGGCCCAACCTATCTTTTTAGCCCTCCTTTCCTTGTACTTTATGTTATAGCCAAACTGCTCTATTTTTTGTTCCTTAAAGACCATCTTCAATCTCCATGCCTTTGTGCTGGTTTTTCCCCAAAACCTGAAATTCACTTTCTTCTCATCTCTGGCTCACAGAATTTCTTTTCTTTTAAGACTCAGCACAAGCATCACTTTTTTCTTGAAGCCTTCCTAATCTCTCCCACCCTTCCTAACTGCTAAATGCCCTCCTTCTCAAAACTGCCTTGTATTTTGTATAGGGATAAGGACTAGACTTGTGATTTCATTGGTATAGAGAACTCTAGGATGAGGAAATTTCCTCTAACAATACATTTTGGCATATTTTTTATATGCAATTTTTATGTAATTTATAGTCTTAAAGAGTTGCCTGCTATACTGAAAAGACTTGTATTTATTGGAGTTGGTTCTCAAATCCATATCTTCTGTCTCCAAGTCCAGCTATGATATATTAGCTAGCATTATATAATATAGTAGATAGCATTTTCATCATGCTTTATAAATATGTCATTTTATCCTCATAACTACCGTGGGAGGTAAATGCAATTACTGTCCTTATTTTACAGATGAGGAAACTGAGGCAAACAGGTATTAAATGACTTGCAGATTTGAATTCAGGTTTTCCTGATTTCAAGTCTATCCATTGTGTTACCTACTTAAACATTATTTCCCTTGATGCAGTATAAATTCATAGAGGGATGATTTGTTTCCCTTTTTGTCTTTTTGGTCTGTTCCTTGCATCTAGCACTGTTTGTGGCAGATAGTAGGTGATTATTGATATTATTAATGCTTATTGATTAATTTTATTTTTACAACTCTAGAGAGTGGGACCGTGGGAGAGATCGGAGAAGTCGAGGGGAATATCGTGACTATGATAGAAATCGACGTGAGCGCTTTTCTCCACCACGCCATGAACTTAGTCCTCCCCAAAAACGAATGAGGCGAGACTGGTAAGAATGCCAGAGCTTAGCTTAGCTTTGCTTTTTCTTGCTTTTTTTTTTTTGTTTGTTTTTAATTGACATTTTATTCATTTTTTTCTTCCTTCCACTTCCTGAAGGAAAAAAAAACCTTGTAATAAATATGCATAGTCAAGCAAAATAGATTCCTTCGTTGGCCATATCCATAAATGCATCTTATTCTGTATCTTTAATCTATCAGCTTTCTCAGGAGGTGGCTAGCATGTTTTATTGGTCTTCTGATATCTTGATTGGTCATTATATTGATCAGAGTTCTTAAGTTGTTCAAAGTTGTCTTTACAGTGTTGTTGTATAAATTGGACTTTTAACTCTGTTCACTTCACTTTGCACCAGTTCTTACAGATTTGTCATTTCTTATGGGACAATAATACTCCATTTGTTCAGCTATTCCCAGTTGGTGGGAACTCCTTAGCTTCTTAGTTTTTTGCCACTGTAAAAATTGATGCTATAAACATTTTTGTTGTACATATGGATTCTTTTTTGCTTTTTAAAAAATCTCTTTGGTGGTGTACAGTTCTAATAGCAGGTGTTGCTGTATTAAAGGGCATGGATAGTTTAGTGACTTTTTTAGCATAGTTCCAAAATTGCTTTTGAGAATTCCTGGACTAATTCATAGCTCTACCAACAATACCAGAGGTTTTCCAACATATTCTTTCAGATTCCAGCTGAGAAGCTTATTCCCCTAAATCTGTCAATCATTAATCACTCCATTTGGAATCTTTCTCTTCTGCCCTTTCCATACCTTTCTCACCAAATCATCTCTTTCCCTTCTGGGGGTGGGGAACCTGGCCCTCTAGGTCCTTGGGTGCAGCCTTTTGACTGAGTCCAAGTTTTGCAGAACAAATCCTTTTATTAAGGAGATTTTGTTCTGCGAAGTTTGGATTCAGTCAGAGGGCTGAGCTTGAGAACCTAGAGGGCCACATGTGGCTTCAAGGCCGCAGGTTCCCCACCTCTGCCTTAGACCTTCTAACATTATAGCTTTCCCATCCATTGTTCTGTTCTGCAGAGTTCTCGCTTTTCTGACTTGCTTGTTCTTTACTCTCAGGGATGAGCACAGCTCTGACCCATACCACAGTGGCTATGAAATGCCTTATGCTGGGGGAGGTGGAGGCCCAACTTATGGCCCTCCTCAGCCCTGGGGCCATCCAGACGTCCACATTATGCAACATCATGTACTACCCATCCAGGCCAGGTAAAGACTCAGGGGAAAATTAGAGAACTGTGGGAAGTAGAAATGTTGAAGTTATTTTAAAAAGAAGGGAGGTACATGAACTAGATAAAAGGGCTGATAGGGAACTAGATTGATAGTGTGGGGAATGGAAATGGGCACTAGTTGGTGCATGGACTAATGTCCATGTTGGGTGAGGAATGGGGCTGCTGGCTACCTTGGCCCCCCATCCCCCCACCCTCTTCCCCCCCAACCAAGACCCCCCGACCGGGCCCCCCCCAGGCTGGGCAGCATCGCAGAAATCGACTTGGGTGTTCCACCACCTGTTATGAAGACCTTTAAGGAGTTTCTGCTGTCACTGGATGATTCTGTGGATGAGACAGAAGCTGTTAAGCGCTACAATGATTACAAGCTGGAGTTTCGGAGGCAGCAGATGCAGGACTTCTTCCTGGCTCATAAAGATGAGGAGTGGTGAGTGCCCCCCCTTACCGATACTCCTTTCCCTTGGCATGTCACCCTTGGCCTGGGAGATGGAGCCCGAAGCCCTATGTGCCCTGGAGTTCCTGCGGGTTTGGGGAAGTGCCCAACATTGGCTGTTGTGGTCTCTTGGGTATAAAGACTCCTGTGTTCCTCTACCTCCACCCCTTCTCCACTCCCCCAATACCAGAATGAGATACCTTCAGGGAGCTGGCTGGAGCCCTCCTGCACTGATTTTCTCCTGTGGGTGGCAGAGAGGCTATTCTCCCCTTTTGCTGGCACAGAGAGAACCATGGACTGTGTCACCCCCAATCTTTGTACCCTTTGTGACTGATGGTCTCCCAGAAGTGACAAGTGAATCTAAACAAGAAAAGCTGAGGTTTTGGGGTCATCTTTAAAGAAAAACAAACCCAAAAAAAAACCCTTTGATTTTTTTTTTTTGTTTGTGGATGTTTTGATTTTAATCAACCATCTTTTCCCCCCTCCTCGTGCTCCTCCTCTTTGAAAAGAGCCAGAACCGGGAACTACACCCACCCATCGCCGGAGCTCGGAGCAAACCCATCTCACCCCCACCACACCCAGCCCATACACCAGCCCCCCTGGGCCGAGCCGTGCTCCCCCCCGGCCAGGCAGAGAGAAAGGGCACCACTGTGCACAATGCAGTGGCTTAGATGAATGTGAATGCTTAGGCAGTTAGTCAGTCAGGGCCCCCACCGCCAAGCCATGCGGGGCGGGGCAGCGGGCCGGGAGCCCGCCCCAGCCAGGAGCCAGCCGGCCCAGGCCCACCAGCCAGCACGGGTCGGCCCGGCTAGTTAAATCTTGAGCTCTGTTTGACCAAGCAGCCAAGGTAAAGTCCCTGGAGGTGACACCTGCGGCTTTTCCTTCCCTCTCACACTGAACTTTTGGTTCTCTTTTCTCCTTTTCATATATTTCTGTATGTCCTTTTCTCTCCATCTCTGGTCCATGTTTCCTTGCCTCTGTCTATCCACTTTGTCTTTTCCTGTCTATCTGTCTTTTAATCTGCCTCAGCTTTTCATGCTGTCCCCCTACCCCTCCAATCTCCTCATCTCAATTTTCTTTTTTTCTGTTTCCAGGACTTAGTTCTTTCTTCTTCTTCCCCACCCCACCCACTTTTCTCTTTGCTTTCTCTGTCCCCCTAGGCAGTGTCTTAATTATAAAGGACAGTCATTTCTTCCACTTCCTTTCTCTACTCCCATTACCACTTTGTCTGTCTTCCCAAGGGGAGATAGAAGTGTCAGGTCCTTCTTGGCCCTGACCTACTTGGTGTATCTCAGGCCCTTTCCCAAAGCCTAGAGGGGGGGTAATAGTCCTTTTAATTCCTGAAGGGAGGAGAGGGAGATCTTTTGGGGCATAGTAATATTTCCTCTTTTATCTATGGGGCTCTGGCAGTGCTGACCCCATTTATCTTAGTACCCCAGAAATCTAGGGAAATGAATTAAGGGACCCTGCTTTATTTGCCCCATTCTCCTCTAGGCTCTCCATTTTTCTGGAACCCAGAGTTCCTTGATCCTAGCTTTTCCTAAATCTCACCTAAAGCCAATCTCTTTGTCCCATTTGGGGTGGCATGATAATTCTTTGTGTCCCCCTCCCCATGGTCTCCTGTTCTTACCATCTTTTGTGGGTGTATGAGAAGGGTGGGGGTCTACTATGGCTCTCTTGGACTCCCCCTCACATCCATGGCCCTGGCTATTTGTGACTATTTTGTCTTTCCCCTTCCCATTTCCTTTCTCAGGTTTCGGTCCAAATACCACCCTGATGAGGTGGGGAAACGTCGGCAGGAGGCCAGAGGAGCCCTACAAAATAGACTTCAGGTGTTCCTATCTCTAATGGATAGTGGCTGGTTTGATAACCTCCTCTTGGACATTGACAAGGCTGATGCCATTGTCAAGATGCTGGATGCAGGTATGGGTTTGCACAGTACAGATAGCTTTGTCCCTGAAAGGAGTGGGAGGGTTTGGAGAGAGTAAGAGGCCACAATATCCATGTTTTAAGGCTAGGGGGTAGGAAGCAGAAGCCCTCCTGAGAAAATAGAGGCCATCTATGATCAATCTCATTTCCCATTCTCCGCTTTGTCACTCCTCAACCTCAGTTCTCATTTTTTCCTCATTGTTCCAGTCAGTGATGAAGAAGTAGCTTTTCTTACCAAAGTCAGCCCCTCTAATTGTGTCCTTTCCTCTCCTTCCCCAATCTTTACTTTTTCTCCTTTCATGCAAATGTGCCTAGATAGCCATTCTTTAAAAACCTACATTTGACCCTACCATCCTCTCAAGACAGGAAAGAGTATCTTTCCTTCCTCTGCCTAGTGATAAGCCTCAACCTAGGTAGCCATAAATACTAGGTCTCTTTGCTCCAGGAGTGGTTAGGACTTCTTTTACTCTGAAATAAAGTGAAGGAACTCCCTCCCCCCCAAAAAAAATCTAGAAAAAGGTACCAGTGCTCTTTGTTTTCATTTCCTACCACTCATCTTTTTTTTTGTTTGTTTACATGTTTTACCCAATTACATGTTAAAGAATTTTTTGACTTTCTTAAAATTTTGAGTTCTTGAATTCATTCTTCTCTCCTCCCCTCATTGGGAAGGTGTGAATAGTAGTAGTTCTCCCTCTGGGGACCTAACTGTGTAGATCCAGTTAGGCAGTACTGCTGTTTCTTCTTCCTCCTCCTCCTCTTCTTTCTGTGTTCTCCCTGTCCACCTGGGGAGTCATACCTTATGTGTGGGTGCTTTGTCCAAAGGAATATAAATTTTGATTACTTATACTTTGCAAGCTATCTTGGGGTTTGGGGCTAGATTTTTTTTCCCTTCCCTATTTATTTATTCTATCATTATCCCCCCCCCCCCAAAAAAAAACAAAAAAAACCACAACCGGGACAGTTAACTCTTTTGTCTCAGGTAGTTTTCATTTATCATTTCTTGAAATACAGCTTTGTTAAACCAGGCTTTGATAAAGCCCATTGGGATTCAAATGGAGCTACTTGACCATGCCTTTAAACCCAAATCACTTTGGCTCTCACTGATTGGCCAATAATATGTCCCAAGCCTCTCTTGCTCATTGTTTAGGTTTTGGTATCTCTAGAGTGAGCGTAAAGAGTAATTGTTTTGACTAGAAACTCCAGACTGATTCTTTTGTGAAGGCAAACTAGGCCATCTTTTGTCTCCATTCTTACCTATCCTTTAATTACTGTGTGGGTATTGCGTCAGACAAACTGCCAAGGTCTCCTACTACTTCTGGGGCCATCGCCAGTCATCCTGACCTATGTCTTGCCACTGGACTCTGGAGGAGGGAGTAGGCAGATCTTTGTACAGTTCTGCCTCACTCAAATTCAGTTCACTTGCAAGTCAAGATAGCATCCTCCTGATGTCATAGGTCCTATTTGAGAATGAAAGACAAACAACATTGGGAAAGCAAGCAATTTGATCTAGGTTATACATGTATGATAATGCAAAACATATTTCCATATTGGTCTTCTTGTGAAAGAAAACACAAAAAATAAAAGTAAAAGACTCCTGTCAGTTCTTTCTTTGGAGATAGATAGTATTTTTCATCATAAGTCCTTTGGAATTGTCTTGAATCTTTGTATTGATGGGAGTAGCTAAGTCACTCACAGCTGATCATTATACAGTATTGCTGTACAGTGTTCTGGTTCTGCTCACCTTACTTTGCATCAATTCATCTAAGTGTTTCCAAGTTTCTCTGAAAGTGTCTTACTTGTCATTTCTTAAATCCAATTATGGTATTCCATTACATTCATATGCTACAACTTGTTCAGCCGTTCCCCAGCTGATGGGTATCCCCTCATTTTTCCCCCTCAATTTCCAATTCTTTGCCACCACAAAAAGAGTTGCTATAAGTAGTTTTGTATATGTAGGTCCTTTTCCTTTTTTCTTTTTTTTAATTTCTTTAGGATACGGACCTTATATTGATATTGCTGGGTCAAAGGTATGCACAGTTTTATACTCTTTGGACATAGCTCCAAATTGTTTTCCAGAATGGTTGGATCAGTTCATAGCACTGCCAACAGCACTTTAGTGTCCCAGTTTTCCCACATCTCGTTCAGCATTTGTCATTTTCATTTTCTGTCATATTAGCCAATCTGGTAGGTGGTACCTCAGTTGTTTTAGTTTGTATTTCTCTAATCAGTTTAGAGCATTTTTTTCATATGACTATAGATAGCTTTGATTTCTTCATCTGAAAACTGCCTGTTCTTATCCTTTGACCATTTATCAATTGGGGAATGATTTAGAAATTTGACTCAGTTAACTATATAGTTGAGAAATGAGGCCTTTATCAGAGAACCTTATTATAAAAATTTCATTAACTGTATATTTCCCTCCATCCTATTTTTTCCATTTATCCTTCTTTTACTCTCCGTTCACCCTGTCCCATGTGAAGTGTTTTGCTTCTGACTCCACCCTCCCTTCTATTAGCTTTTCCCACTCCCCCCACCCCCACTACTTACCCTCTTCTCCTCCTACTTAACTTTAGGGTACAGTAGATTTCTATACCCAAGTGAGTGTGTATCTTACTCCCTTGTTGAGTCGGTTCTGATGAGAGTAAGGTTCAATCAAGTGTTGTCCAACACCACCCCATCTTCCCTCCCACTGTAAAAGCTCTTACGTCTCTTTTATATGAGATAATTTACCCCATTCTACCTTTCCCTTCTCTCTTTTCCCAGTGCATCTTTCTTTCTCTCATTTTTTTTTAGATATCATCCCATCATAATTATCCCTCTTTCTTACCCCTTAATTTTATCTATCATCTCAGTGTAGTAAGCTCAACCTGTGACCTCTGTTTATTCCTTCTAGCTTCCCTAATAATAACATTCTTAGAAGTTATATATAACAACTTCTCATGTAGGAATGTAAACAGTTTAACCTGATTGAATCCCTTAGATTTCTCTTGTCTGTTTACCTTTTTGTGTTTCTCTTCAGTGTTGTATTTGAAAGTCAGATTTTCTTTTCAATTCTTGTCTTTTCATCAGGAATGCCTGGAAGTCTTCTGTTCATTAAATGCCCATTTTTCCCCCTAAAGGATTATACTCAGTTTTATTGGGTAGGTGATTCTTGGTTGTAATCCTAGCTCCTTTGCCCACTGAAATAGTATAATCCAAGTCCTCTGCTCCTTTTAACGTGAAAGCCGCTAAATCTTGTTATCCTGTCTATGGCTCTACGATACTTCAGTTTTTTTTTTTTCTTTCTAGCTGTTTGCAATATTTTCCCTTTGACCTAGGAACTATGGAATTTGGCTATAATATTCCTGGGAGTTTTCATTTTGGGATCAGTAGAAGTGATCAGTGGATTCTTTCCATTTCTCTTTTACCTTCTGGTTCTAGAATATCACGGTAGCTTTCCTTGATGATTTCTTAAAAGAGGATATCTAGGCTTTTTTTTTTCTATCATGGCTTTCAGGTAGGCCAATAACTCTTAAATTATCTCTCCTGAGTCTATTTTCTAGGTCAGTTGTTTTTCCAGTGAGATATTTCATATTTTCTTCTATTTTTTTTTCATTCTTTTGGCTTTGTTTTATTGTTTCTTGATGTCTCATGGAGTCAGTAGCTTCCACTCACTCAGTTCTAATTTGAAAGGAATTCTTTTATTTTCTTTTTTTTTTTTTTACATAAAACATTTATTATATTTATTTTTTTATTTATTTTGATTTGTCAACAATCACTTCCATAAGCTTTTGAGTTTTGAATTTTTCTCCCCCTCCTTCCCCAAGGCGGTGTGCAATCTGATATAGGCTATACATATACATTCCTATTAACATAGTTTCACATTAGTGATGTTGGAAGTAAGAATTAGAACCAATAGGAGGAACCACCAGAAAGAGGAAACAAAACACAACAGAAGAAAAAAATAGCAAATACTATGCTTCCATCTCCATTCAAACTCCATGGATAGCATTTTCCATCATGAGACCTTTGGAGATGTCTTAGATCCTTGTATTGCTGAGAAGGGTTAAATCTATCAGTATTAGTCATCGCACAATGTGGCTGTTACTCTGTGCCATGTTCTCTTGGTTCTACTCACTTCACTCAGCATCAAACCATGCAAGTCTTTCCAGGTTTTTCTGAAGTCTGCCTGCTCATCATTTCTTATAGCACAGTAATATTCCATTACATTCATGTACCACAACTTGTTCAGCCATTCAGCAGTTGATGGGCATCCTCTCAATTTCCAATTCTTTGCCACCACAAAAAGAGCTACTATAAATATTTTTTCAGATGTGGGTCCTTTTTCCATTTGTATGATCTCTTTGGGATACAGTCCTAGAAGTGCTATTGCTGGGTCAAAGGGTATGCAGAGGAATTATTGTCTTTGATGAACTTATGTACTTCTTCTTTTCCATTTGGCCAATTCTGCTTTTTAAGGAGTTGTCTTCAGTGGATTTTTGTGCCTCTTTTACTATATGGCTTGTTTTGTTTTGTTTTTTAAGGTATTATTTTCTTCAGTATTTTTATCTCCTTTACCAAGTTGTTGACTCTTCTTTCATTACTCTCATTTCTTTTCCAATTTTTCCTCTACCTGTCTTATTTGATTTTTTAAATTCCTTTTTGAACTCTTCCAGGAATTTGAGTCTGAGACCAATTTACATTTTTCTTTGAGGCTTTGCATGTAGCTACTTTGACTTTGTCTTCTGAGTTTGTATTTTGATCTTCCCTGTTGCCATAAGTTTCTGTGGTCAAGTTCTTCTTTTGTTTGCTCATTTTTCCAGCCTATTTCTTGACTTTTAACTTTATGTTAACGTTGAACTCTACTCCCGTGGTCAAGGAGGCAGTGTCCCAAGCTTCATGCCTTTCTTACTGCTATTTTCAGAGCTACTTCTGAGGGTCTGTTAAGTTTTCAATTCTTCCAAGTAGTATAATCTAAGGAGAGGTGTATTTCCTACTTTCCTGGCCTGTGACTACAAGCACTGTTTTCTGCCCTGGAACTGTGACCAAGGTCTCTTCCCCTGTGATTGCATGCTCTAGTGTGCTAATGCTTCTCACCCCGGGACTGTGAACCGGAACCAAGTATGGGCAATGCAACAGAGTCCCACACGCAGTGCCAGCAAAAAGCCCTTTGTTATCTCCTTCTGACCAGTTGTTTAAACCCCCTTACCTTCTGAAGGCTGATAGCTATGGAAACCTCTACTGCTAATCACTTGCTGCTGGAGTGTACTTTACTCTCACTCCATTGAAACATACCTTTTCTGTTGACCTAAGATGTCTTGGACTGGAAAATTGTTTCACCCCATTATTTTCTTGGTTCTGCCACTCCAGAATTTGTTTTGAGGCATTATTTTGAAGTTGTTTGGAAGGGAATTTGGGAGAGCCCAGGCAAGCCTTTTCTCCACTGTTTTCCTCCCACTCACTTCTTAATCCCAAGGATTTTGGCTTCTGACCAAACTTAACTGAAAGCATTCTCTCCTAATTTCTCAGCTCTCTCAGTTGCTAAATGCAATGGCCTTTTTCTCAATTCTCTTCCTTAATCTCTCTCTCTAGCATTTGACACTGTTGACCACTGTTTCTTCCCGGAGTTTTTGGGATTCTTCTCTTCTACTTTTCCTCTTGTCTGACCACTCTTTAGTCTCTATGTACTGACCCCTAACTATAGGTCTCCCCGCCTCCCCTCCCCCCCCAGGTTGTGTCCTGGTCCCTCTTCTGTTTCTCTGGACTTAATTCTTATTTTCTTACAGTAAACTCTTAGATCTATGTATCTAACCTGCATCTTGACTATAATTCGTCATCACTTATTGCCCAATAATACCACTTTATTGGACATCTTTAGCTGTTTATCTTCATCTCAGATTCGGCATTGTATGGCTTGAACTAAGATCACTAAGATTCCTTCAAGCTCTAAAATTCTGTGATTCTGTGTTCAAAACAGAACTCATTCTTTTTTCCCTTCCTCCCTCAGTCACTACTCTTTCAGACCATGGTCTAATCAACCTTTCCTTTTCCATCATCCTCTATATCCATTCAGTTGCCAAATATTGTTGCTTCTGCCTCTAACAAATCTCACCATCCATCCCTTTTCTTACTTACATGAGAGCCCTAATTCAGGCTCTTATCACTTCTCTTACAGCCTTCCAATAGAACTCATAGCTTTCAGGTTCACCCCCTCTCCAATCTATACAGATGCTGAATATATTTCTGAAATACAGGTCTGACTATATCATTCCACTTTTCAAAAGCCCTAGTAGCTGTCAGTTGCCTCCAGGATAAAATACTCCTCAGTGTGTCAGTAGACAACCTGGTCCTTATGAACTCATTCCCTATGACTTTCCTTCATGGTACTTTTATGTACCAGTTAAATCTACCAGCTGTTCCTCCAATTAGATAAGCAGCTCATCATCATGCCTTTGCAGAAAAAGTGTTCCCCTATCTGGAATGTATTCCCTTCTCACCTCTGCCTCTTGGAATTCTTAGCTTCTTTCAAGGCTCAGTGTATATGCTTCTCCAAGTAAAGCTTTATATGATTTCCCCTAGTAGTTTGTACTATTTTCCTCCTTGAATTTTCTTATATACATGTGGCATATTGTATTTCTCAAGTAGAACGTGAGCTTCTTGAGGGAAGTGACTTATGTTTTTGTGTCCCCATCACCTAGCACAGTGCCTTGCCCATAGTATGTACTTACTTTGCTTGTTGAATTGGAAAGCCAAAAGTTAATGACTAGGAAGTTTGGGTTGTAACCTCAGAACTTTTGTCTGCAGCTGTGATTAAGATGGAAGGAGGCACAGAACATGACCTCCGGATTCTGGACCAGGAAGAGGAGGAAGAGTCAGGGAAACCTGGAGAACCCGGCAAGAAGGAAGATGGACGAGGAGGCTTAGGACTTGCTGATGGGGAACGAAAAACTGATAAGGATGACAAAGAAGACAGCAAACAGGTTGGGAATGTTGGGGCCCCTAGGATTTGGAAAGAGTGGGGATGGTACAGGTAGAAATTCTGAACCCCCCTTTAGGGAGAAAAGGGCTTCTGATATGGGTTGTTAGGGAGCTAAACCTTCATATTTTTTGCTTGTAGACTGAGAATGATAGTATGTCTGATGATAAAGCCAAAAAACCTGACGGTGATGGGGAGAAAGATGAGAAGAAGGAAGAGCCTGAGAAAGAAGCTAAGAAGGTGGTGGGCCTGTGGTACAGGGATTGAGCCTTAAGTTGGGGGGGCGGAGTGAGATGTTCCTGATTTCCTGCTCATCCTTTGACTTTTCCAACCCCACCTGTCATTCCTTACAGAGCAGTAAGAAGCGGAACCGGAAGCACAGTGGGGATGACAGCTTTGATGAAGGCAGTGTGTCCGAGTCTGAATCTGAGTCAGAGAGTGTCCAGGCTGAGGAGGAGAAGGATGAGTCTGGTGGGTTTAGCTTCCTGTTGATGATCTTTTTTTTTTCCCCCCATGAGGGGGTAGATAGTTGGATAGAGTTGGAAGGGAGGGGTATAAGATTAATTATTTACTCCTCTCCCTATCCCCAACTCACAGAGGAAGCTGCCAAGGAGAAGGAGAAGCCTAAAGAGGAAGATCGAGAAAAGGCTAAAGAGAAGCCCAAGGAAACACTTGGACTAGAATTCAAACCCCGACCTCTACACAAGACTTGCTCCCTCTTTATGCGCAATATTGCACCCAATATCCCTCGGGCTGAGATTATTTCTGTGAGTGAGATGGGGATACTTTATTTGTCAGGGCAGGTGTTTATTATCTCAAGGTTATCTTTTACCCCTCTTATATCATGGACTCGTTACGGATGACCAATTAACACTGTCTTCCTTTGGTTCCCCCTAACTAGTAAGGGAAGAAGACGAGGGGCAGTAACCCTGAGTTCTTAGGGACTTGGACGAAGACAAATGTGAATTCTAAATATACCTGTTTCCTTTTCTCCTCCCAGCTGTGTAAGAAGTACCCAGGTTTCATGCGTGTAGCTTTGTCAGAACCCCAGCCTGAGAGGAGGTGAGTTGTAAAGGACAAGATCTTTGGGTACCCTGAGGTGAATGGGCTAGGTAGGGTGTGATTGATTAAGATTATTCCGCATTTTCACATACCTACCACCGCCTTTGCCTAGATTTTTCCGTCGAGGTTGGGTGACTTTTGATCGAAGTGTTAACATCAAAGAAATCTGCTGGAACCTGCAGAATATCAGGGTGAGTGCCATAGAGGGAATAAATTATATAGGATTATATCCAAGAGACTGGGCAAGATCTGTTGAGAGATGAGGTCATATCTCGCTTCATTTGATAAGCTTCACTAATCACTTCTCTGAAGGACTTTACAGTTCCTAGTAGGTATAAACCCGTGGGCCATGTGCAGGGGGTCCTGGATTCTTTTCTTTTCCTTCAGGGTTGCCCCTAAGGTAGTAGTTTTCTAATTACTTATTCTTCTGTAGCTTCGGGAATGTGAGCTGAGCCCTGGTGTGAATCGAGACTTAACTCGACGGGTCCGTAATGTCAATGGCATCACTCAACACAAACAGATTGTGCGCAATGACATCAAGCTCGCTGCCAAGCTGATTCACACTCTGGATGATAGGACCCAACTTTGGGGGGCTGAGTCTGGGACCCCTCCTTTGCCCACGGTCAGTGATTGCCTCTGGGTTATAACTGCATTTCCTTTTTGATATTATGGGACTCTTCTACTGTCATCATTGCCCTCCTGCCATCCCCCTCCCCACTGTGGGGCTGGAGCCTATTGTAGGCTGGACAAAAGTCAAGACATTACCATTCTAAAGCCACCACTCTCAGTGATTCCCACACACAGTTTAATAGTAAGAATCTCACCTCACCTTTCCAATTCTGCATTCCTGAATAGGGAGGTTCTGAGCTATCACAGCCAGATGTGGTAAGCAGCCCATTTCAGCCAACCTGGGGTGGGGCCTTTATTCCTTTCTTATAACCCATGTGCACCCCTTCTCCCCCCCCCATTCAGAGCCTGCCCTCTCAGAATCCAATCCTGAAGAATATCACTGATTACCTGATTGAGGAAGTGAGTGCTGAAGAGGAAGAACTGCTGGGGAACAGTGGAGGGGGACCCCCCGAAGAACCTCCCAAAGAGGGGAATCCAGCTGAAATTAACGTGGAACGAGATGAAAAGCTGCTCAAGGTGAGGGGGAGTTACCTGTATGTATATTAGGGAGAGGGGTGTTAATAGGGCCATGGGTGAGTAAAGGGGCAAGGTAGTATGAGTAAAAGATCTCTTGATACCACGTTTTCAGGTTCTTGACAAACTCCTTCTTTACTTACGCATTGTGCACTCCTTGGACTATTACAACACCTGTGAATATCCCAACGAGGATGAAATGCCCAACAGATGTGGCATCATTCATGTTCGAGGGCCTGTACCTCCAAATCGCATCAGCCATGGAGAAGGCAAGACATCCAGTATCTGCCCTTGTTCCTCCTTTCTCTACTTCTCCATTTCATCTTCAGTCATATTTACTTCTCACTATCCTCATCTGTGATTTTTTTCTTACCTCCTTTTCTCTAGTTCTGTATTTCACCCTAGTATTCTCCTCTTATCACAGTGGTAGAATGGCAGAAGACATTTGAAGAAAAGCTGACGCCCTTGTTGAGTGTTCGGGAATCTTTGTCAGAAGATGAAGCCCAGAAGATGGGACGCAAAGATCCTGAGCAAGAGGTGGAAAAATTTGTCACTTCCAACACCCAGGAGCTGGGCAAAGACAAGTGGCTATGCCCCCTCAGTGGCAAGAAATTCAAGGTTAGGAATGATGGAGGTTAAGGTGAAGGGTTCTGGGTGTCTTAAGAGATTTTGAAAGGGGGAAGAAATTGTAGCATAACAGAGACCTGGAACAAGTAGGAAAGATAATTTAAGAACTTTTGGACTACCTGAAAGCCATGATCAAAAAAGACCCCAGACAGCATCTCTCAAGAAATTATCAGGGAAAACTGCGCTGATATCTTAGAACCAGAGGGTAAAATATAATTGAAAGAACACTTATGACCTCCTGGAAGAGATCTCAAAATTAAAACTCCAAGGAACAAAGGAGGCAGGGGGAAGTAGATCTGTTTTTGTCATTCCTAGGGGCAGCTAGATGACTCAGTAGATAGAGGGCTGGGCCTGGAGTCAGGAAGACCTAAGTTCAAATCTGGCCTCAGACACTTCCTAGCTGTGTGACCCTCGGCAAGTCACTTAAACTCTGTTTGCCTTAAGGCAAAGGAAGTGGGAAAACTCTAGTGTCTTTGCCAGTAAAACCCCACGGAGGGTGGTTCATGATCCACAGGGTCATGAAAAGACTGAACAACACTTTATCCTTCCTAATGTTTTAGGGAGCCATGGATAAAGCCATGTTTTAACTTTTTTCTTTTCTGGCCCAGGGCCCTGAATTTGTGCGTAAGCACATCTTCAACAAGCATGCTGAAAAAATTGAGGAAGTTAAGAAAGAAGTGGCCTTCTTCAACAACTTCCTCACTGATGCCAAGCGGCCTGCACTGCCTGAGATCAAGCCAGCTCAACCACCTGGTCCTGCTCAAAGTAAGAAGTGCTTCATGGAGATTCTAATTTATCTCCTCCTGGGCAATCTGAGACTCCTGGCTCTTCCCAACCTGTTAATGCTGTTAGAATGTAGTCATTGGTTACCCTTTCCCAAGGACTTCCAAGAATATAAAGACCCAGGTTTCCTGTTTTTTGGACACTCAGTACCACGAGTCCATCCTCCCCTTACCCAGTAATTCATGTTCCTGTCCCTGCTGTACTCCCCCCAGGCCTGACAGGACTCCCCTACCCACACCAGACACCCCAGGGCCTGATGCCTTATGGGCAGCCTCGGCCACCTATCCTTGGCTATGGAGGTAAGTGTAAAGGAAGGATGAATGGATCATTTAGGGGAGGTGGGAAAAAATTGGAGACACAATAGATGTCCTTAAACATATATTTCATTCACAGCTGCTGCTGTCCGTCCCACGGTCCCTACAGGAGGACCCCCATATGGGGGCCCCCATGCTCCATATGGTGCTGGCCGTGGCAACTATGACTCATTCCGGGGCCAGGGTGGTTATCCTGGGAAGCCCCGAAACCGGTAAGATCTGAGATTTCTGGATTTCACATATTCTTTTCTCCTTTCCACTCCAGCTTTAATAAGTCTGGCTTCACTAACTCTTGACTGATTACTTTCTTTCACAGGATGGTTCGTGGTGACCCAAGAGCAATTGTGGAATATCGTGACCTGGATGCCCCTGAAGATGTTGATTTTTTCTGAACAAGTTTTTCCCCCAACTGCTGTATCCATAATTCCCTTCCCCTTTCAGATCCAAAATAATTTTTTGTATGTTCAGCCCTACTGCCAATAAACAGCTTTCCACAACATGGGAGCAACTGGGTATACGGAGTGCCTGTGGTAGGTATGAGCTACAGAAGTATCACAGGTGCCTAAGACCTTTTTTATTTATTGACTTTATCCCTCTGAAGTTGGGAAGAATCGCATGTAAAAGGATGATTCCTTTAATGTCTAGTGTCTGCCATTAGTTTTCACAGGTTCCAAATGTTTGCTATAGGTGTAGAGCCATCCTTAAGACTACATAGAGATGGAAGCTTAGTCATTTTATATTAGCCTCTTAGGTCAGGCTTCATCCTCATTTTCCTGGAGTCCTACATTCTCAGATACAGACTGTAGAAGGAATTGGAGTTAAAAGCTGTGCCTATTTCTTGCCAGCTCACCCAGCCAACCTGTGACCATCCGTGATTTCATAGAGCCTCCTTGGCAGTGAAAAACCAGTTATCACATTTAGGCTTTATCCCCAGACAGACTTGTGCCAACAAGTGCCTTGGCCCCTGCACCCACAATTCTCAGCTTCCTTCCTTGCCCTCCTCTCCCTTTCTCCAACACCTAACACTTTCTACCATGTGGAAAGATAAGTCTCTCAGAACTTTGAAAGCCAGAAGGCTTATCTCAGATCTGTTACAGCCTACGGGGCTTTCTGGTGTAGAGTTTACTTTGGGAACCTGTTTATCAGGCCAGGAACAGTGTTGCAATGGCCTGTACCCCACAGCCACAGGTCCAACCCTTGTTAGCCAGGCCATCCCAGAAGTGTTTTCAGGCAGGCTGGGCCTAGGCTCAGGTGTGCATTGTGGAAAGCAGGTCCTAATTTTACGTGTAGAGGAAGAAATTTGATTTAGCACACTCCAGTTTTGAGGGTGTTGGACACAAATGAATGGGGAGGGGTAACAGGCACACTGGGATGCTGGACCTGATAGCCCTTTTAGTCTGGAGGGCGCTTATCTTCTCTCTTCTGCAGCTTGCAGCTCCTCCCGGGGCCGGTTGGAAATTACGTTGGTAGCCACCATCCCCTGCCCTTCGTAGGGCCTCAGGAAACGGGAGTGTGAGGCTCCTAGAGGGCCGCACACAGCGGGCCTCTAAGCGTTCCCCCAATGCAGCAGCCGCACCGCTTCCATTAAGCCTTTAGGTGCTGCCCAAGACCTGCCTACAGTAACGTGGGCACCAAAGCTACGCTCACCTATCTGCGGAGCCCAGGCCTTGCCCAGCCCTGCTCGCCCCCTCCCCCCACCAGGCTCACACAAGCTCTGTGACTAAGTTTATTGGCGGCCCAGAGGGGCGAAGGCACCGCGGGGGGAGGGGACTCGGCCCCGGACATGCAGGGGGCGGAGAGAGCCCTGGAGGGTGGGGCCAGCCCCGCGGCTTTATCCGCGTTATATCCCAGCCCTGAAATAAATAGTATATACAGCTGTGGGCCGAGGAGAGAGAGGGAGGCCAGCTTGCTGGAGTGGCGAGGGAGATCCCAGGGTCCCGAGCCCCTTCACAGGTCTGAGCAGCGCTCCTGTTTGCTGTAATGGTCGAACTGGTTCTTCCAGTGCACCATGTAGGAGCTCCAGCGGTGGAACTCCGCCTTCCATTGGCGTTCCGCCTCATCCAGGCTGTCTGCGGGGCGGCCGGTGGCCGTGGCACACGGGGGTGGGGAAGACATTGGAGGGGAGTGGAGCGAGAGGAAGGAACAGGACACAGGATGAAAGCGGAAGAGATGCAACAGAAGGACGAATGGCCGGGACGGTGATGAAGGTGACAGGGGCGGCAGAGGACGAGGGAGGAGAAAAAGAAGAGACAGTTGAGAAAGAACAGTCCTGTCAAGGGCGGGGCGGTGGAGTCGGAACGCGCAGGAGACCCTCAGCCTCCCCTCCATATTATGCGAAGGATGCGAAGGATTATTCTAGAAAAAATATTTGCCTTTTTCACGTAAACAACAAACTGGGCAAGGGGCGTGTCCCTGGGAGGGGTGTCCCTGGGAGGGGTGTCCCTGAAGTGTCCAATCTGGGGCTCTCCCTCCGCCGAGAGCTGTCGCGGGGAGGGAAGGGCGCTGACACCGGGGCCCCTCCCTTGGGCCGCTCCGGAGAGTCGCAGTAACCCGGGCCCCGGCCCGGGGAGGGGGTGACGGGTGTGTTATCGAAGCAACAAGAGGAGGAGCGGGAGGAGGACATAGCGGCCAGGCCTGCGCCCTGGGGCAGCCCCACCTCCGGCCGGGCACTGGGCATCCCTGACTAGGAAGGGGAGGGGGAAGAAGAGAGTGGGTTACACCCTGATGGGGTGAGATATGGGGCAGCCGGGCGGGCTCCCCTCCCCAGGCTCCGCACCCTTCCCGGCACCCACCATCACCACTCAGCCCGCCCAACCTGCTGCCCGGCCTGCCTGCGCCCCCCGCCCTAGGTCCCGCCCCCGAGTGGTCTCCCCAGTCCCCTCCTAGGCAGCCGCTTACCCGTGGCGCTGAGCAACTTGGGCAGGAATCGATTCCAGAAGGCGCAGGCCTGCGCGCGGAGCCCTCGCCGTACTTCCAGAGGCCGCAGGTTGAGGCTTACGTATTGCTGAGCCCCCGCCGTGTAGGGAGGCCAGCGCGGGGCTTCGCGCTCCCGGGGCTCGTTGGGGTCGCTGGGGAAGGGCGAGGGCAGGATCAGACCCAGGTCTGCCAGGAGCTGCGTCTCCCCCGCTTCCCGTCTGTGCTTGACCCTACCTGTTCCCATAGCATCCTCATTTCCCTCATATGTTCTGCCCAGCACACATTTGCCTCCTAATGCTTATTGACCGACTGCTGCTACCTATTCTCCTCTCTCCTCTCCCCTCCCCCCCTCAAAGAGAGGCTTTGGATCTGCAATCGGAGGATCTGTGTTCAAATCCCATTTCTGCCACATCATCTATGTGGGCTTGAGCAGCTCCCCTGGGCTTCAGTCACTTTATCTCTAAAATGAGGTGGTTGGACCTTCCAGTTCCAGATCCTTTGGTCTCCCCATCTCTTCTCCCTCCTCATATTTCTCCCATTGTCTCCCTCATCTCAGCCATTTTTTCCCATCTTTTCCAGTTTGACAGTCATCTTTCTCTTTCATTACTTTCACCCCTTTTCACTTCTCATCTTTTTGCCTATCTCCCCTCCTCCATCCCCAGTTACCCCTTTATTATTAATAATCTTCTTCCCTCAGTCTCCTTATTTTTCTCTCTCTTTGCCTGTTCCTCATCTGAATCTTATAAATATTCCATCACTCTCCCAACCCTACTGACCCAGTACGGGCGAAGTTGGCCCAGTATCTCATCAGGCGCCGGGCTAGGATTCTTTCAGCGCCAGTGTAGTTGAGTGTTGGTTCAAGGGGAAGGCCAAAGATAAATTCAATCTCATAGCCATGGGGAACACCCATCCAGAGGGGCCAGGACAACGTAGAGGCTCGATGGTCAAAGACGTAGGCATAAACTCGGGCACCTTGTGCAGCAAGTCCTCCTGCTAGCTGGGCCACAGGACATACCACATTGTGGTCACCCACAACATCACCCAAGGCCTCACGAAGTCGTGCAGGGTCATCAGGATGTAGCCAGTCGGTGTAATGCAGAACCACAGCCTCTGCTGCCAGCTCACTTGCTTGAGGGACCCCAACCTGCACTCCAGCCAGGAACTGGGCCCGATTGATCAGAGACTCATTGTCTTTGCTGAAGCCTGGGGCCCCATAGACCAGGAAATAGGAGCCTTCATCCTGTACTACACCTACCAGCACCTGGGAAAAATAGGACAAAGAGTAGAGACAAAAAAAAAAAGTCAGGTACAGAGAGATAGCTACACAGAAAAACAGGAACCGAGAGGGGGCAGAGATGAAAAGAGAGATCAGGGCAGATAGCAATGAAGAGTCCAAGACAGGCAGACAGGACAAATACAGAGAATGAAAGAGAAAATTTGTAAGATTGGGGAGAAAAAGAAGACACACATTTGTAAGATTGGATAAGATTGGGGAAAAAAGAAATACATTGACTTTGATTCCTTTCTTTTCCTTCCCCACTAAGCTATTTTTGGGTCTAAGTATGCTTAGGGGTAGGCCAAGTGAAATAAGAGGTGAAAGAGGATTTCTGAATTTGGGGGTTTAATGAATGCAGAAACCTGCAGAAACCACAATTACCTGCAGGCCATGAAAGTCCCCAGCATTGATGAGAGCCTCAGGAGTGTCACTGAGGAAGTCTCCATCCACAACAGGAACAAAGGAGAATCTGAAGACACTCTGTTGGGGCAGCACCTGCCATTCCTGGTCCACAAGGTCCTGGGCTGGACGGGTCCTCAGGCAGACCACCAGCTCAGTGTCATTGCTGCCAGTGGGACAGCCCACCAACTGGGCCAGCAGGGTGGCTCGTCTACGAGCCTCACCTGCCCCCACAGTGGCCCAGGGTCCATTGGGAGCCCCACTTTGCAACACTGCCCGATGGAACAGGCCACGGCTTGGAGGTGAAAGCAGATGCATGCCTACGGAGGCAGCTCCAGCGCTTTCCCCAAAGAGTGTCACTGACCTTGGGTCCCCTCCGAAGGCTGCCACATTGTCCTGCACCCACTGCATTGCCAAACGCTGGTCTAGCAGCCCCATGTTGCCTGGTGCCTCCCGGCTCCCTGGCAGTGCCAGGAAGCCAAAGGCACCAACTCGGTAATTCATGGAAACAAGCACAGTGCCCTCAACCCTGGCTAGGAATCGTCCATCGTAAACATCAAGGGAGGAGGCCCCACTGTAAAAGCCACCCCCATAGATCCAGACCAGGACTGGTGCAGGAACCACTGGTCGAGGAGAGGGTGTCCACACATTAAGATATAGGCAGTCCTCACTTAACTCCCGGTTAGGGTTCCACATCTCAGACCCTTGGAAACCTGGATACAGGTTGTCCACATATTGGTAGCAGACATGCTGAAAGGATGTAGCATCTAAGACCCCTTTCCATGCCCGTTTGGGTTCTGGAGGCAAGAAGCGCCTAGGTCCCACTGGGGGCTCAGCAAAGGGGATACCCAGAAAGGCAGAAACAGGGCCCCCTGGGGCACTAAGGTGAATCCCACGAAGTTTGCCCTCCTTTACTGTCACCAGCAGGTCAGGATCTTCAATGGTTTCAGCCTCTATTCCCCTGCTCAGGAGGAAGAGGAGAAGGAGAAGGGGTGAAGGACTATGGAGAAGCAGTAGAGACTGTCCAATGGCCATCCTGGTGCCTGCAAGGGTAAAGAGGGACAGGAGGTGAGATGACCAAGGAGGGAGGAGGGGGAAGAGACAGGAAGCAAGGAGATTAGGACTTTGATGCAGTAGTTATCATAAAGAGGAGGGGCAAGCTGATAGAGACAGAGAAAGTCCCAGAGACAAAGCCCTTTGCATGGTGCTCCGAAGGTCTAGATACCATCCTCTTTGGGTTGTGTGAACTGAGATGAGGCTGTGGAGGGATGATGTGGCACCCAAAGCAACAGTCCACCCAGGGTGGGGCCACAGAGAAGTTGGAGACCAAGAAGAGAGAGAAAGAATTCTCATGGAATTGTCCTTGGGTCAGGAGTTCTGGGGTTGGGCGGGGAACCTGCCTCAAACTGCCTCCTATCCTTACCCTGACCTGTTCTGGTCCCATCCCCTGGCACAGAGGCCTAGTTCTGTGCCGGTTGCTGTCAGCAGCTCTGCTCTTCCCCAGAACCAGCTGCCCTCGGTGACCCGCTCCCCCCTTTTCCGCCCTCCCCACCTCCCCAATATTGTGCGCTGGGACTGCAGTTCCAGTGTCCAGCCAGCGAGGGTCAGCAGCCACTGACAAAAGTGCGTCCTCCTACTTCCCCCTACCCGCCCCTCATCTCTCCTCACCCGCTCCCATGCCCCCCACCTCCAACCCAGGAGCGGAGCAGCGGGGTGGGGGAATCCTCGGCTTTTGGCAAGGGCACAAGGGTTAGGAGTCTGAAGAGGGCATGGGACACTCAGGTTACTAAGGAGTCCAGTGGTCCCCAGATCCGGGAGGGGGGGGTAGGTGTTGGGGAAAGAGGAACGGACGGCCAGCCGGCCTCTATTTTGGGGACAGCAGCTGCTACTGTTCCGGTATTTCCAACCAGGGATCAAAATTCCCCAGATCAGGACGGAAATCCCCCCCACCCCCCACCCCCTGCCGCCGCTGTCCTCTGAAGCCTTCAGGATCCCCCGTGAGGTTCTGAGCCTCGGCGGTGGGGCGGGGGTAGCAGGAGAGGAGGATTAACTAGGAAACACGAGGAAAGGGGATAATTATAACCCGGGGCTTCCGCTGACACTCCCCCCTCCCCAAACCCTCCCCCCCAGCAGTAAAATAGAGATGGATTTCCCTTGGGGGCGGGGACGCAGGGAACCCTGAAGGAATCAGGAGACTGGGGGAAAGGAAGCTGGAGATACTGGGGTTGGGGGTCCCGGGAGTCCTCATTGCAGTCCCGACCCCACCCCAGGGACCTAATAGACATGAGATAAAATGGCCTTGGGAGGTGGCGGCTTCTCAAGAATTGCAGGGGCAATGGAAAGACTAGAGCGTCCGCCGGGGAGCGAAGGTGAAGTATGTGCAGGTCTTTGGGAGGCAGGGAGGGGCGTTGAATTTACTCCCCCTCTCCCAAGGCCGGTGCGTCTGGGATTCTATGTGATGGGGGAAGAAGGGCTATAGGCCTGGCGTGGTGGGTGGGTTTGTGTGAGTTGGAGGGGTTGTGTGTGTTGGGGGAGGGGGGTTGTGTGTTGAGGTAAAGGGCTGGCGGGGGATGTACGAGGGGTCTATGGGGGCCTAAGGATGCGCGCACACACCCGAGTTGCGCCTTCCCAGATGTTTCAGAGTCACTGGATGGGAGATGACGGAGAAGACCAGACTGGGGGCCGGGGTCTTACCTGGGCCGGGCAGGCTGGGAGCAGGAGGCGGAGGAGCTTTCCCAACGCAGGCTAAGCCGGCTCTGACAGCCGCCGCCGCCTCCTCCCCGCCCCCAGCCTCTGGCACACACACCCCCTCCGGGGCCGCTTGGGCTCCAGCTCCCCCGCCCATCTCTCCCCCCTCCCCTCCCCTCTGTGAGAGACCGAGAGACATACTTAGACACACTTACTTACAGTGACAGAGACACTGACACACAGGGTGGGGTAGACCCAGTTATGGAGATAGACGTGACACCGACACAAATGATAGAACACAATTACACAGATACACTGATAAAGATAATTTTCAGTGATAGATTCACATGGACACATACTGACACAGTGAAAGACACACAGTATGTCAGCCGTGCATATATTGACACGCAGTGTGGCAGAGATGCAGACACAGTAATAAACACACCGAAACATAGTGTTAGACAGTTCCACCCCCACCTTCCTCCAACACGTACACAGGCACTTGAAGCTGGGGCAGAGCAACCGGAGTCCAGTCTAGAGAGCGGAAAAACTCAGAACTGGGAGACGTCTGCCTATCCGTTCTGTCTATCCACACAACCTATATTCTCCTCGCTGGGTCAGCAGGAGTGCGGGCCTTTCTATCCCAACCCCCTAATTCTCAGCTTCCCTAGGGTGAGATGGGGTCTATGTGCAGGAGAGGGACCTTGGGCTGGAATATCTTGAGGGCGGAGAAGACTATTGAAAGACCGAGCTGAGGAAATCCGTGGAGGAGGGATGAGGATGGACATTGGGGAAGAACCAGAAAAAGAGTTACGAGGACTGCTTAGTAGGACTGGGGTGGGGATCGGGGGTCTCAACCCCACCCAACATTGGAAACCTCTGGAGACTCCTGAGACTGAAGGCTTAGGTTCCCCAAGAACGTGTGCGTTGGAGGAGGGGAGGGAATGTTCTCGGACCCTGGTCACCAATCAGAAACCGGCTGGTCCATGACATCACCAGAATGGGTAGTCATTGGCCAATGCCACCGGCAGTTGATGGGATCGGTCCTTTCGTGATCGTGACTACTTCTCCTCCCTCACCCCCCGGTTCATCTCTCTCACCCCCAGACTCTCCCCCGCCCCAACCTCCCCGCATTTTTCAACCAACAGAAGCCATTCGAAGTCCCCGGGGGTAGGGGAGGGTGGAACATCCTATCGCCCCGGGGGTCCCACTAGAGTCTAGATGACGCCTCTTCGTCAGTCATGCCATCACCAATGTACCCCCCAACCCCCACATATCTCGGCATGGGGCAGCACGCAGACTACTTGTGTTGGAGGGAGAGACTACATTGGTGGGTTAGTCCCTGTGGGTCCAACTTGTTCCCAAGAGGCTCTAGAATAGGACCGTAGTAGGCTCGATCATCCATCCACACATACTGCAGGTGTCCCTGCAGGTATCTGGGGTTTTGTCAGTCACTTCACACCTAGGCTGCCATTCCCGAGTCGGCCCCAACGTTTCTTCCCTTTGGCAATCTCAGTACCCTCAAGGTGGATGCAGTGGGGGCGGGGAGAACGAGAGTTGGGGAAAGGAGGCATGGCTCTCTGGACCAGGGGGAAAGGGTCTAAGGCAAGCCTTGTTCTCTGCCTCTTGCTCCTCCCAGCCTGAGAACCCTCTAAGCTGGTCCCTCTTGCTCCTTCAAAAGTGGGGACCTCCTCCCTAGCCTCCTTTCCTGTATTCCCTTGTTGGCCATTCTGGCTCCAGGCTGAGCTCTCTGCCACCCCCGCCCTTGCCTAATCTAGTTAGAAACTCCGGGTAATGAGTCCAGGCAACTCTCCAGAGGGTTAACCCAGGCCTGTGACTGTTTTTCGTCTTAGATATCACATCCTATCCCTTCTCCAACCTTTCCAGGCGTCCGACCCTGGGGTCCGCCTTCTGGACATGCCCAATTGTAGGGTCTTAGTCGCAGCTCAGCTCTGCGCACCCCCCACCCCCACGCCAACTCCCACCTTGAGCTCAAAGATGCATCTTCACTCCCAGCCCTGAATTTCCCCATCCTCCCTTGCAAGGCTGTGGAGACCTCCAGGTGGCGCCAGGGACTCACAGTACGCTGGGTGTGTTGGAGGCGGGGGGGGGGGGGGGGGGGCGGGGGGGGGGGGGGGGGCGCGGGGAACTCCAAGACTTGAAGGTTCGATCTTCGATCTCCTCCTTTTCTCCTCCTCCTGTTCGCTGTTGCTCACCTCCTGAGGGACAGTGGCTGGTGCTGAAGGGAGGGGAAAGAGATCACAAGATTTAGAGATGGGAAGGATTTTAGAGGTCATCTAGTCAGTCAATTTAAAGATTAAGAAACTGGGGCACAGAGAAGTTGAGCGATTTGCCTAAGGTCCAGGATTGGAATCCAGGGTCCTCTTTTTACTGCAACATAGACTGCTTCACCCCTTAGGAACATGATAATTATAATTTCGATCATTTATTGAAATTATCATTACTTGGGTGATAAAACTAAATTTTGAATGAGAAAATATTGAGAACTGAGAAATTGAGAATGAGAAAAAATGAGAAGGGTGTAGAGGAAAGAGGCCACAGATTTGCTGTTAATTAATTGTGTGACTTTAGTCAAGTTCTCAAGCCTCAGTTTTCTCTTCTATAAAATAAGGAGGTTGGACTAGATGAGCTCCAGGTTCCCATCCCAGGCATTCTGCCTGAGTAAATCAATGTGACTTTAGTGACCTGGGGCTGATATCCACTTTAGGGGGAATCCCAGGACATGGCAAATGGGGTTGTCCCCTACCTAGTTCGGGCAGTCTCCCTCAGGTTCTCATATATTTTTGAGTGCTCCAGGAACCTGGTGAAGGATGATTTTTTAAAAACCATTTTATTGCCTCTTTTGGTTACCTTTGTTGACTTCATGATGATGACTTTGGACATCAGTAACTTTAGTTATTTCTTTAATTCTTCTCTTTCTCACTTCTAATATTACTAAGACTAGAATTTAGCATAGTGCAAGGATTGGCATAGGGGCTTAATAAATGCTTATTGATTTGACCTATTAAGTCCTTCTCTGAAATATCCCTCATCTGTTCCTCTTTTCTTCCCATTACCACTTAAGCAGGTCTTCCCAACTCTCCTCTTTCCACTTGCCAATCCATATCACTATCAAAGTCTTTTTTATACATATATTTAGTCATAAAATTCTAATTATCAAAATTCTTTAATGGCTCCCTATTGCCTACGAAGTAAAGGTCAAAGTCTACTTAACATTCCAGGCTTTTCAGAATTTGGCATCCCTTTTTACCTCTCCAACATTATCTCATACTGCTTCTTTCCATAGCATACTACCTTACTCCCCAGGCAAACTGGGTTACTATCTGTCCCCTCAATGGGCTCTGCACATATGTGGTTTGCCCCATGGTTATACTATTTCCTGTGCCTGAAAATACTCTTTCTCCCCTTGTCTACTGCTGACAACTCAATGACCCCACATTCAGTAATAACTTTTTTTTTTACCCTTGGGCCATATGTAACACTTTGTACCTCTTTAATAAACATAAATATTTTATATTGTAACTATCTGCACTTATTTCTTATTCCCATTCAGTTTGTTTTTAAGTTGTTTTTCAGTAGTGTCCAACTCTTCATGACCTCATTTGATGTTTTCTTCAGTATCTTTATACTGCAGTGGTTTGCCATTTCCTTTTCCAGCTCATTTTTACAAATGAGGAAACTGAGGCAAACAGGGTTAAATGATTTGCCCAGGGTCACCTAGCTAGTAAGTGTATGAGGCCATATTTGAATTCAAGTCTTCCTGACTCCAGACCCAGCACTCTACCCACTCTATCTAGCTTTACATACTAGCTCATCAATTCTAAAAGTGCAAAGACCATTCTTTATGTTAACTTTTGTTACCCTTGTTAACTTTTCCTGACATAAAAGTCTCAGGACTTCTTCCTTCTCTAATTGTCCTCATCCAGGTGATAATGATGTCTGATGATGATCAATGATGGATGAGAAGATCAGGTCTCAGACATTGCCCTTAGTGTGGAATCAGATCACTAATCTCACTGATCTGACTTATTTATCCTCACCCAGGTAGTACCTAGAACAACTCATCCACTGATGACCTCTTAAAAGGTTTCCCCTTAGAAGTGCTCAGACACAGTAACAAAAAATAGCAGAAAGAGATATACCATTCTAAGTAACAATATCATGCAAATTAGCTATCAAAACACAATCAAGACTTATGAGAATATAATCTTAAAATGCTCCTTACAGAAATCATACAATTTTATTGATATAGGAACTCCAAGGAGAGAAAACTCCTTTTGTTCATGCAGGTAAGCATCTTCTCTCCAACTTAGAGAGTTGATTAGAGCACTGAGAGATTAAGTGACTTGCTCAGTCACAGAGCTACTGTGTGTCAGAGATAGGACTTGAACCCAAGTCTTTCTGGTCAACTTCCTGGCATGCTGCCTTTCTTAATGAAATAAAGGAAGACAAATAATTGGATACACTTTTCTTGTTCAAGGTAGGGCCATACACTATAATGAAAATGATAATAGAACCTAGATTAATTTTTAGATTTAGTGCCACGCCAATAAAATGACCAAATAATTACTTTATAAAATTAGACAAAATAATAACCAATTTTATCTGGAAGAAAAAGGTCAAGAATCTAGATGGATTCACCCCTCTTTAGGCAACCAGGTGACTCCTCCATTCCCAGTGGTCTACCATTTTGGTGCCAGATGTGAAGTAGACATCTGATCAGTTGTTGACTCAGAAGTTGTGTCCTAATTGTTTTTCTCCTGGGCATTTTAATACGCTGTAATAAAAGCTTTAATGAACTTTATTTCATTTTTCTTCTTTTTTTAAGTCATCACATCATTTACTCCCCCTCAGATTCCATTCACCCCACTAAAAGGGGGGGAAGCCCTCCCTTGTGACAAATAAGCATAGTAAAGGACAACAAATCCACACATTGGCTGTTTTGCATCTTAAGTCCATCACTGTTTTTTTTTGTTTTTGTTTTTTTTTTTGTGAGGCAATTGAGGTTAAGTGACTTGCCCAGAGTCACACAGGTA